TGTGTGTGTGTGTGTGTGTGTGTGTGTGTGTGTGTGTGTGTGGATATCCATTCGCATATTCTCACTGAATTTACAACCCCTACGAAGTCAAGTAAGTAATCTAAAACACCCGACTGATTAAGTCAAATCTGCCAAATCTTTCATGATGTTGAGGCGTTTGTTTTTTTTTTTTTCTTTTTCTCCCGTGGAGACATTCGTCACTGAGTGAAGACTTGGCAAAATTGCGTTCGCGTGATGTTAAGGCAAGGGTGAAAAAATGCCACAAGTGGAACCATTAGAGATTTGCAGCATAGTAAGCAGAGCAACACGATATTTTTCATTTCAACATATCTTTCTTTATACATTTAAATGAAGGTGGACAAATGTTATCATTTCAGCATTTTGAGGGAATTTGTGTATTGCAGAATTAATTCCTTCAGAAGGAATTCACCTAGCATTTCTCTAATGCATTTAGAAAACGCCACTAGTAAAAGTCTTAAAATAAAATGTTAAAAGTGTCATTTGAGGAGAAGAGGAGGTGGATTTTACTCCAAGTAGTCGATGCTGGTCCAACTGGAGGCGGTTGAGGGGTGGCCGATGGCAGTTGCACGCATCGATGCCCACCCACCACTGATTCTTCCTCCGACTTCAGTAGCCTAACCGATCACCGTGAGGTTGTTTAAATGCTTCCCACTTTGTTAGCCTCTTGAGGAGGATTATTTTACTCATAAAAGGAGGTACTTAAATTTGCCCCTCGTCTAGGCGTAAACCCCTTGTGAGTCAACTTCTGATTGGATGAGGAAACAATTTTTTTACCTTTTTTTATTGAATGACCTTCTTTCCCTCTAAACAATGTTATGTTTTAGCAGATTTTATCACCACAATTTGCAAAATCATGTAAGAGGAAAGGAAATGGAGTAAGGCCTTATTCAGTTAGAGTTGGTCGAGGTGAATGAGGTGACCCAATTAGGTAGTGTTTGTTCACCCCTACACTTCCTTAATGCATCACCTCAGTGGAGACAACTCTCCCATCACCGAGGCACGCTTTTGCCCTACGACAAAAGGGATTTCACCTTCTCCTCCAGCATGAATGCTAATGCAAATGTGTTTTTCTCTTTGTCCAGTCGACTTTAGGGAAAAAAAGGTAGAAGAGAAGTAAAAAGTAAAACTACTGGTTAGAGGCCTAAGTGTGTTCACAATAAGGCGGTGTTAAGGGTAGTGTCTGCTAGACGCTGAAGGTGGTGGCCTCCAACAGGCTCTCCTAAAGGTCATAACCAGAGAATGGGGCATATTTTTTGTCCTCTCACGAATAATCCTACATCAGACAGTCCAAGTTTGGGATGCAAGCGACCTGCCACACACTCATGATGCAAAGTCATTGATGGGACAAAAAGGAGAGGAGTTGTGGAGATCAATTTTGCCTCACTTTGGCAACATCTTTTGAAAGGCAAATCAAATTTCGGTTTGTGCGACCCACTGACCTCTGAGTGACCTGCTTAGCCTCTGATACAACCTGAACAGCGACGCAAGAAATCGCTTTTGAGTAAGAAGCTCTAACATATCTCGACTTAGTCACCTCTTTGTTCAGTTTGCCATGTTTTGTTGCAGCAACACTGAAAGGTGGGATTACGAGGAACGGCAAGTAAGTTGAGGTGCCTCATTATGGTGTCACTAGACCGAAGATTTGACCACTCATAAAAAATTTGTCAACACTCCGTCTGTTTGACGGATCAAACCAGAGAGAGAGAGAGAGAGAGGACGAAAGCAAAAGGTCAAGTGGCTTTAATAAAAGAGGTTAAACTCACAGTGGAATGTTAGTACTGTCTGATCACTGCCTTCTGCAAAAGTGGAAGCCACACAGGCCACAGTCAGATTGATCAAGTCTCGAGAAAGACGAATTCGGTACTGGTCAGATTTCTCGCCTTCAATCACCGAACCATTCAACATCCAACTGTAATGAAGAGACCAACAGGTTACATCCACAAGCTCGAGGTGCCTGCATTCTTTTACCTACAAATTTGTTATGTGACTAGAATATTTTTGGATTTATAGCTCCCTTGTTAGCCTGTGATTGGTTTTGCTGATTGACCTTTATCTACCTTTTTTTATTTACCAACGTCTAGTCCACGCATCACGCCCTCCAAAAGTGGTAAAAATTACTCAAACTAGTTGTAGGCGCATAATCTTCCATTTGGGTAAAAAGACCAACCTCCAGGTGAAATTATCAGGCCGACCTTCTGCGGAGCATCGAATGGTAACAACATCATTTTCCAACAAATTTCTTCGACCTGTGGCCGGAGAAACTCGCATTTTTACAACCGGTGCATCTGTAAAAACAGAAAAGGCAAAAAAAACTCATCCAGATGGACGAAAATCGCTGTCGAACGTGGATGGTAAGGCATGTGATTCGGTGACCACTGACCTCTCCACAGAAAGCGACGCCTGCAGAGTGCAAAACATGTGGCAAAGCCTTGTGTCACAGTCTAGAAGTTTGCTTGGCTGACTACTGTCTCCCCATTTGACGTCTCACAAGGCGTATTCACCGCAGATTTAATTGCGCATGTTAGAAAAAAGTCGGCAAATGACTTCAACTCCTCATTTATGACAGCTTATTTCCGTTGCAAAAGCCGGCTTCTTTTAGCCTGTCTTAATAACTTACTCTCCCATTTTTACGACAAAATTACCCAACTCCCTTTTCAGCCGTTTTAAAGGTGAAAAGAAACTTAAAATCCTCGATGTTCAGCATAACTACCCACTGCGTTTCATTGAACCATTACAACAACCGGACAATTTTCTTCCGTAAATTCAAATTCTCGCCATCTTGGGATGGTCTGCTTAACGTTGTGAAGTGAAAAGGGAAGTCTTGTAAGGGCAACTTTTATGCCACTTATTTAACCAGACACCGAATGAGGCCCTTTGTGAGCCTAAGGGCTTACACCACCGCGTCTCCAGTATCCGACTTAGCTTAGGCCGTTCGAAAAGTAGAGGACGTAACTGTTGGCCTTCATGAACTTATCACGATAAAGGCATCGATGGCTTGCCTGTAAAATCTTTTAGCTTGAGAACGGCGTACATGATTAAAGGAGAGTCCGATGCACAGAGGTTAGTCCTGTTGGTCTTGCAGCATAAATGTCAACCGACCGCACTTCGAATCATGTCGGTCTTATAGTGAGTCACTTTATGGCCTGTGATTTATTGTTGCCTGTGTCATGACAGACAGCCACGTGCGACAGCCAAAAGCGACAAGTGGACTTACAGTGTATGTTGAGCCTGGTGAAAGCCGGTTCAAGGGGCTGGTTCTCGTACCCTTCATTCTGCGCTGTACATTGAATATTCGAGCCGTGGTGCAGTTTTGTCACGTAGACGATAATCTCACTCACCGTTGTCACCCTAGATGGATGAATGGGGAAAACAAGGAGACAGTTACATTTTTCTCGTGCATAAATTTTTAATGGTTAACTAAAGCTTAATATTTTTGCTAACAAAGAGTACACCTCTTCACAGTCCAAGATTTTGGGGTCAATGGAAGATTGGCTTAAGAACAGAAAAATTTGTAAGTCCGAACTTAAAGCACAAAATTTTGAGAAGGAAAAAAACAACAAACAGCACAATGTATAATTAATGTTTAATGAACGGAAATTAAAAATAAAATGTTCACATAAAATGCAAAAGTTATTTACATTTTGCAGACCCATTTCATTTTGCTAAATCTTGCCATTTAAAAATAAACCAAAGAAAGTACAATCTGTCTGGCAGGAAATGTCGCATTATTTTATTTTCTCTCCTCAAAGTTGACCATTAAATAAGTGTTTGAACGTACAAAAGAAGTGCGTCAACTTTGAGGAACCACTTTGGAGAGTTTTTCTAACTCGCTTTTGTGAATTCAAAGACTTGTCTAAAAGTGAATTCACTTAATGACTGCGACCAGATCGCATTACAGGTTGACGGTCATAAAAGACAGCTTCTATTCTCAAAATTTTTGGGGGCACGGCAACTTCTTACATTTGACGGCTCTGTGTATTAACTAAAAACGTCAAAGTGTCAGCTTAACTTTTCAAGGCTTAAATAATGTCACATTTATGTGGTTCTTCTGAATGTAAAAGTGAATTGTCCTCCTGATGGTGGACACCCGCAATATCAAGTAGTAGTATTCATTATTAAAGGAGTTAAAGCACCTACAAGAAGGGTGGCTCTGACGCGGGTATGCTCCTGATTGACACGTTGCCTTCAATGGGGCTGGTGATCTTGCCCTTGGTTCCGTCCTCGTTGTAAACAATTATAAAGGGGCTTCCATTCAGTGTCCAGAAGAGTTTAGCGCCTGGTTTGCCATTCTTGGCAATACAATGAAGGCGTAGGTAGGTGCCTTCAGTCGTTGTTGCAGCCACCTGCGGTCCCACGCGCCTCACGTCCTCGGCAGTGTGGATGTCGGACTGAACCAGTGTGGGAATCTCTGACGCCACTAGTTTGCCAACACAGGAGCAAAATTGCTGTGAGGATAACTCCTCAAAAGTCAAATGTCACTTTTCATATGTATTTTCAAAAAATTGTAGCTGTTACGTTTGCAGAAGCTCGAATGGATTGGACTGTCTAGTGTCGTAAAATATCTACATGTCAAAGTAGGTGTTGTAAAATTTTTTCCCACTTTACCACACCTCCCAGTTCTGATCACATCTATCCCATGGTACTACTTTTTCCCACAAATGCACGCTTCCCATTTCAGGTCCAGTGGCTACTAACCAACTCCTCTCAAGACAGCAATTTACCGAGTCAGTAGCTATTTGGCACCCTCGGTTCAAGGAGGATGGTGGGAAAAGCTTTTTAAGGATAAAGTTTGAAATGCATTAGACCTACCCAAAATACGAACATCGGCCGTTTGACTGAAGTAGGTTTTTTGATCATAACGCAGTTGACATACGTATTGTCCCTCGTCGAGGCTTTTGGCGTGACGAATTTGAAGGTCATATTGACCTGAAACAACAGACATGCACTTCGCATCACACCGCCTCGCCTGTGTATAATAAAAGTACTTCATTATTTTTTCTTCCAACCCGAAGCACACATTTGTTTCCTTTGTGCACCTTCAACATCAATGTAAATTGTCTTTTTTTATTTTTGTAAAAAAATAGAGCTAAG